AGAAAAGAAATACAACAACAACAACCTACCATGTTATTTTGGGTGGCAGCGCACAGTGAAACATTTTCTTAATGAATTCTGCCATCAGTCTTTCAGAGCTGGAGCAATACAAAATCTTTCCAGCCTTTGTGCAACATCGTAGCTGCTGCATACGCAGCGGACACAGACAAAGCCGAGGGAGGTTTTACTGCAGAAAGGGTTGAAAAGGGTGCGATAGCTTACAGGAACCAGAGAAATACAGAGAAGAGGCGAGAGGAAAACAAATCAAAATAAAGAGAAGAAACAAACATTTTATTATTTATTTAGTGTTCTGTCTGACGACAGGTCCATATGAACAGGATCCTTCCATCCTTTTCTCGGACTGGGACCTGTTCATATACGTTCTTGGCAGATGATCCAGAAGGGGTTTGCCATTGCCTTCTTCTGGGTGTGAATGGAGTAATTGTTGGGATGCCAATGAGGAAAACTCCGTGTTGCCTAGGCCACGGCCTTGCCCAACACAAGTTATAAATTCGGGCACCACCGGGAATCGAACCCGAGACCCCAGGATTACAAGGCCAGCGTTCTAACCGCTAGACCACCGTGGCAATTTCGCCACAGTACATGATTTATAATCATTTTCGTCATTTGAAAATATATAATCTACGTAATACATACAGTGTCGTTAAATGAACAAAGATATACAGACGGCCTTGGAGTGACTGAATTTAGATGCAGGACTTAAAAACGCTCTTATAACCAGCCATCGGTCTGCTGTTCTATCCCCGGGCTGAGATTTTAACATCTCCCTTCATCCATTACCAATGCAAGTGAAGAATCTAAGACTTTAATTTCTTTCGTCTGAAAATTTTAAATCACATACAAGAATAATTGTGCATAATTTGAGATTCTCACGGCAGTGAAGATTACAATGTTCTTATGGGTTATGCTCGTATGTAGATACTAACGTTACAGAGATACATAATGTGTCCATCTTCAGGGCTGCATAATATACGGTGTCACAACCCGGAAGACAACAGTCTGGATATAAGAAATTAATTTTTAATTCCAGTTTTGGAATTTATTAAACTGAACAAACTTATAATTAAATAATTATAAAAAAAAATGTCATTGTAATGGTTTGTGCTTTCCGTAAATACTAATAGTATAAAACAAACATTACACGATAAGAATTGATAAACACACATACAAGAAACAGTGGGTGACGAGATTAATAAAGATCTTTTCAATCAAAATCCAGCATCGCGAGGTCACTGGCTAGTTTCCACGTCTTCACATTCTACCCAAACACCCTCAGAGTATAATCCACACGAATTGCCACAATTAAAACAGATTAATTAATGCTAAGTCCATCTATAAATTAGGGATTTTTAGAATTTTAACAGTATTTGCCAACACGTTAGCAGTCGTATCCCTGGTCTCATGACCTTTTTGCTCCCAGGGAGAAAGTGATTTAAGACTTGTACACAATCTACGTGTATTCCGTTAAAACGTAACCTTCTGCTCAAGTTACAATTAAACAAAGAGAAATTCCTTTAATTAGGTATGCTTAGCACGCATTATTGGTTCGCATTTGTCTTTTTAGAGACGAGAACGCAGTGCTGGGGGGAGTCATACATTTTCAATGGGATAAAATGAGAACTTTAGGCTACAAAGAAGCCAGTTTCGTGTACTCATGAGACAGAAATGTACGAACATCTAATGAAATCACGTTTCTCTTCTTGGTAAAAGCTTAACAACTGGTTTGAGTGTATCATTCATATAATCTCTATAATTGCAGTAAATTCAGCGCTGCGGTAAAGTCAACTTAACCTATTTTATGAAACAGAACGTGGATAATTGAGTAAATATACGTGTATCTTAAATGTTTAAGTTGTTCTAAAATGTCAATTTAAAAATCCTCTTTCCTCTTTGAGATTCTCTGAAAGACTTAAATATTTAAAGTGGTAACTACAAGTGCCACGTGCTATGAGAATCAATAACTATACATTTTATTCTTTGAATGTATTTATGAGTTTGGTTTGATTCTCGGAATAAACACAGATTACTTCCTTAAGCAACAACAACTGAGTTTTTATGATAGACGCATTGTTTTATTTTAAGTATAAACTAAATTTTTAAAAAGATTATTAAGAAGAGGTTCGTGCGTAAAATAATTAAGGATCCATCCATCCATCTGTCACTTAATTCTTGATTACTTAACCGAACAATAATACGACTGAAATTTGTCGTTAATACAATACTTTTATTTTCCGTCGTTTCACAAGCTTATTGTTAAAATCACATAAAATTTCACATAAAATTGTTACATTTTTAAAATTGACGACATGTTTCGATATACAATTCTATCATCGTCAGGTCTATCAAAATTAAAATTAAAATCTGGTGTATCTGTTGCTCTGCTTATATTGATTTTGTTTTTACCCGTTTTTGATTTTATTACATCTCCAGGCTTCTTCCATTTAATTTTGGAGACTGCGCCTGGGTGCCTATATCTGTAAAATCAATTTTCAATTTTAATTTTCATATCGTCGATATGAAAATTAAAATTGATTTTACAGATATAGGCACCCAGGCGCAGTCTCCAAAATTAAATGGAAGAAGCCTGGAGATTAAACAAATAAAATCTAAACGGGTAGAAACAAAATCAGTATACGCAGAGCAGCAGATACACCAGATTTTCATTTTAATTTTGATAGACCTGACGATGATAGAATTGTATATCGAAACATGTCGTCAATTTTAAAAATGTAACAATTTTATGTGAAATTTTATGTGATTTTAACAATAAGCTTGTGAAACGACGGAAAATAAAAGTATTGTATTGAGGAACACAAGCAGGATGCAATTAAGATATAAGCTATTTGTCGTTAATGTAATTACAATTTTAAGCAATGAGGAAAGCGTGTATAACCCATAACGAGCCAAATAATTCGTCATGGTTGCCTTACTACGCAAAAACTAATTACGTCACCTGACCAGATTGTTATGTGGACACAAACAAAATTAATACCAATCAATGTAGTTATCCAATCATTATGTATGATTTAGCAATGGACCCCAAAGAGGCCCGCAAATATGTAGATTCATGATTATCATGAGATTATTTAATGATTTTGGCCTCTATCGACATCAACACGTTATTACAGGAAGTTGTAACATTTACCAATTGTTAGCCAATCTGAGAATGATTAGCGATAATCATTACACAATTTGAATAATGTAACTGCAGAATTTTCTGTGGAAATAAACTGGAAAAAAAAAAAACCCAACTAAAATTCTAACTTTTTTGAGATACGTAACCAATTAGAAACAAAATATGAATTATTGATAATGCACTTAAATCAATACTTATACCTATTTGGGATACAATACATCATATAAACGAGAAAAGAATTTAAATGTAAAACATACAAAGTTTTTTCAATATAATATGTATTATAAATAAGATTTTAAATTTTTTTTGTTAATCTTGATTCACACAATTAAACACCTATGTTACTGAATCACAGATAACACGAAGAATTTACGTGACAAAATTAATGCAAGTAGAAATTAAACAATTATGAAAGAACTACAAAGTTCACAAATTTAAAAATAACACAGCAGGGATTATATATTTGTAAAGCAAAGATAATTTAGTTAACAGTTGTTTCGTAACATCCATTAACAGGTGAAAATAATGATAATAGTGCGAACTGATGGTGGTCGTTTGGGTTAGTTTGCTGTATAGTGTGAAACTGGAGGCAGTATGTCCCTCCAAAAACGTTGGTATACAACCAAAATTCTACAGCCACGAAAACCGAAAAGTCCAACATCATACAATGTTTCAAATACAGATTTGTAAAATAATTTCATCTATAATTTACGACTCATACCAATTTCTGAAACAAACAGCAACTTTCCTCCGTTAAGTTCCTCTTGATGACAGTGTATATTAAACTGATACAAAACACAATCAAATCCGCCAAAGAAATTTCATTGTATACCCCCAGTGCAAAGTCAAAATTTGATAACATCACGTTAGAAGTTCGCCGAAGTTAACGTAAATTGGTTTAGTGGGATAAAACGTGCCGGTAGACAGACTAACGAGCAAGACATCTCCATTATGCGTTATTTTTGAGCAGTTCTTGCTAGTAATGCATAAACTCGAAATACAAATCTAAGCGCCTTGGGGTACGGGTTGAGATATGTTTCTCAGTTTAATGTCTACAGCAGCAGGAAGTCACAAACTGTCTATACTCTGTCCATTTTATGTTGGGATCTGCGGCAGAACTTGCGTGGGCACAATCATGGCCCCTCATCGAACAGACGGTCTGGAATGCGTTCTATCTGAGGCGTGGCTTTAGAATTAATTACGCGCCACACCGATGCAGACTCTCATGTTATTTTCAATGTAATAAATACTGATTGAAAATAATAAAGAGTTGAGTCACAATTACGTCTCGATTTAAAGAAATTTTAATCAATCTTAAATTAAATTTTGGAAGCTACAGCGCACCCATAAAAGTGTTAATTGACAAAAGAGTTCACTTCAATCCAATGCGCTTCGTATCATGTACACAGTTTTGTTCATTTCAGAATTATAATTTTTTTTTTAAAACCGGGACCTAATTTAACTCACCTGTATAATCAACACTAATACGTAAAACCTTACTTTTGAATGGCGGGCCTAATACATTTAAGCATGCATCTGTCTGATATTTAGGAATATTCCATACATTTTAAATGATGCAAACATTCTGTAAATGTTAGAGCGAGAATAAAAGCTTGGACAACACTTTCGATGGCACACAGTTAATAAATTTCATTTCACTAGTGATTTCCCTGTAACTAATTAACGTTATGCTGTTGTAAACGACGTTCCATAACTACGTTACGGGTGGAATAATTCGTTTCTACTCTGAGGTTTAAAAATAAGACGTGTCGATGAGTGAAGTCAAGAGACACGATGCTAATTATTTTATAATCAAAAAACCAGCATCAAGGTAGAGACTTACCTGGCATTCGTACGTGCCGTTGTCTCTCTTTTGCACGTATTTTATTTGCAATGTCCAGTCCTCAGAGCCCTCTGAATGCAGAACTTGAAATCTCTCATCGTTCGTGTACGTGAACATCCCGGAAGTGAGGATATGCCAGTCTCGTCGGCGAACCCACGAAATCTGAAACATTCCGAAATTACGTCCAACTTCATAGAAAGACTGTAAAATATTTCGCAACTTTTTCCATTCTCACAATTTCAACAAAAAGCAATTATTTTAATTAATACTGAGTTAAGCATTATAGGTAATGTGAAATTTTAGGTTCTCAGGGCGGCGAATAGTATGTGACCGTCTTCTGTTTTGTAGCGCAGTGACGGATAGTAGAAATTGACTGACGTTTCAAAGGCGCTTAGTGATTCCATCATCAGGGACATAATCCATTTTCGTCTTAAAGATGGTGAGAAATATATACAAAATCAACTACCATAGACAACTTCATCTTCCTGAGACCCTCAAAATTAATTAATATTACACGTCGATACATTTATTGTTGACTGAAATAAATCGACAGAATCCGTTCAGTAGTTTTTGAGGTGAAGTTTTGCGGACGGACTGGTAACCTCACTATTATGCGTTTATTTAATTCAGTCTGTGCAAACATCGAATTAAATAGCATTACACATTATCTGTTACTGTACTTTTCAAAACTATCCATCAGCATTTTACGACACGTAACGTAAATGGCAGCGTTGCATATCGATTCGCGTCTGTTAACAATATATATAATACAATACGTCATAGACATCCATCCACATGAACTGAGGTTTCAGCACAGAATACACGGCTAGTTCTATATTAAACCACCGGCTTGCTACAGCAAACAGACGTTTGTATGCAAATACGTTCTTATAAAGGCAAAGTAATTTCTATAGTTATGTTCTTCGCGTCTACTTTTTACTCAGTTACGGGTGTAATAATTCAATTATGTTCTTCGCGTCTATTTTTTACTCAGTTACGGGTGTAATAATTATTAGACCCGTAACTGCGTAAAAGTCCATTATAACTAACTAACTAACTAGATGGCTTACGGAACCCAAAGGTTCATCACCGAATTAACCAAAGCCCTCCACCGGACCCTGTCCTGGGCCAACAAAATCCAGTCTGTAAGACTTGAGGTTCTCACAGCGGTGAGTATGAAGATTTCTGTCTTCTGGGTTATTGCGCTGTGTAGTCTGGTCGATGTTTACTAACGTTTCAGAGGTCATACTGCCTCCGTCATCAGGGC